AGGGCTTTGTAGGGACTAAATTTACATATTTATGATTGATCTTATGTTCTCATCCCTCAATGCTGTTCATCATATTATCAAATAAAAGAAAAAATAAGTGCTTCAGAGCCTGGAAAACCTGACCTTTAAATCAAGGCCAATACTGAAAAGCAGCCAAATAATTCTTCCAATTTATCACATGGGGAATGTGCATTTAAGATGCCTTCTTATTTAAGTTATACTGTGGACATAGCTTGTTTGTCATTAAAATGTAAAAGGTACAAGGAATTTACTCAGCTCTACTAAATTACTTCTGAGAATTTTATTTACTTGCACTGAAATGTAGCCACCTATTGCATTCTTAAAACTCTGTTCAGACTTTTCCAGACCAAGGCAAAATTTAGTCTCTCATATTAAAGTCCTAATAAACTTAAACTCTCCCCCCGTGTTAGTTCTGCATATCTGACACTCATAATACTGAGACCTCATCTCAGTGGACAATTGCACATTACTTCCCCCTGAAACTTCAATGAGAGAGTTGAGACAAAGAGACCTCAAAACTGATTTTTCCCCCAAAGACATCTTTCCTTCAAGGTGTCCATGTGCCCGTGGTGCCTCGCAGATTGAGCACAGCTCTGGGCTGTGCTGGCAGCCTCCTGCACTGAGGCTGCACTCACAGTGAAAATGTCTACCCAAAGACTGTCCCACGGGAGGGAAATGTCTGCCTTGGCCTGAGAAAAACCTACAATTAGGCCTTAAAAAGACAGATTGAAGCTTGTTTCCTGTCTTTTCAAAGAAGCACAGGCATTGGCATTGTAAAGGGGTACCACACCTTCATTAATACAAGAAATCATTCGTTTTTGTGCTATGTGGAATGGCCCAGGAAAAATAATTAACAAGGAGGGAAGGCTGGCACAACAGAATTCTTTGAAACCCAATACAGAAGGACCTATTGGGCAGACAGGCAATTGTTCAACACATTAAAGGATTTTTAAAAAATTGATGGATTGGCACAACACTGATCAAAACGCAAGCAGAGAGATGTATTTGTTCTCCTTCACCTCCAGACATAGTTATTCTTCCCATGGAACAAACTTTCAAATTAACTTAGAAGTTCACAGAACTCCTGCAATGTTAAAGCAGACATACACACACATTTTTACGTGTAGAAAATTAATCGGTGTTGGGGTGCCATGAGTTAGAATTTAAGAATATGCAAAACCAGAATAGCAATATCAACATGCAAGTGAGCTTGTTTCTGCCATTAATGATGTAACTGTTGAATTATTTAAATCAGGTATCCAGTCCATAGAAGTTGGAAGATATGCTGTGTCTCAGAGAACACCTTGCTTCTGACAGGCAGCCAAAATTAAAATAGAATTTTGATTTGATAGTTTGATTGCATAGTGGACTGCAGGATTAAACTTTGCACGCAATTTAGATGTATTACATTGATTTAGAGTTTAATAAACGCAGTTTTGTATAACCTACTTAGATTCTATCCAAAACAAAAAGCTACTAGCTGAATTGAGTTAACATGGCAATTATTTGGTATTCTCATAGTGCTAAGCACTATTCAAACATAGGTTAGAGAGGGGAATAAAGGATCCAGTTTGTAGCTGAACTCTAATGTATTTGGATAAAATATTTTTATGAATATAATGATATTAGTGTTTTACTTCTGGCATTATTAAAAATACCACTGCATACCAGACTGTTTTCTGAACTAGGATGAACACAGAAACTTCCACTAGCTAATTTAGCAAATGTCATAGTTTGTGCATTCTATTTAGTGCAAAGTGAACAGAAAAAAGAGAGTAATTTTGTTGGTTGGTAATGTTTCAGGAAACAATCTGAAATGGGATCCCCACAATAAGAAGACCCATAGTAAAACAGAATAATAGCCAGATATGAGAGTCCCAGATAAGAAATCGCTTGTTCTGCCTCTGTTTATATACACTGTAACTTGCCTTTTCTACTGGCAGGAGTTTGATGAAATAGAACCACAGCACCATAAAATCATAGAATGGTCTGGTTTGGAAGGGATCTTTAAAGATCATCCAATTCCAACGTCCCTGTCACGGGCAGGGACACATTTCACTGAACCAAGCTGCTCAGAGCTCCATCCAACATGGCCAGGAACAATTCCAGAGATGGGGCATGCACAGCTTCTCAGCCTGTGCCAGTGCCTCAACACACTCACAGAAAAGAATATCTTACTTATGTCCAGTCTGAAGTTACCCTCTTTCAGTTCAAAATCATTGCCCCTTGTCCTGTCACTGCAGGTCCTTGTAAAAAGTCTTTCATATAGGTCACATTTATATATTGAAATTAATTAATTAATTAATTCTCCTTCTGTATTTCTTTATGATGACATCAGACCACAGACAATGTGGTAGGTGTACATAGCAAACAAATGGAAAAAGCATATTTGAGTAAGTTTATGTGAAGTATTATCATCAGTGAGGTCACTGAAAACAGAGAAACGACTTCTCAAAGATTCAGTGAAACCTGGCATATTCATATATTCACTATATCACAGATGTAGTGCCAGACTAAACATGAACCTGAATATAAAACATAATTACAGATTTATATTTTATTATTTGCTTACTGTGTGTGTGAATACATAAACCCCCACAAGCTCTAACACACAGAGAAATGAGTCACGGGGAATCCCGACTGTAAGATTACTGCAGCTACTTTGGCAAAAACAATGAAACAGCTCTTAGTTATAAGAATCTGTGGGATTTTTGCTTCCACTTTCATGTTTTATTCTAAAGTTGTTAAATCTTCTCTTTATTTGTTATTTTCTACTCTGGGCATCAGACTGATTTCTGCCTTGGGAACTTCTGAGACGACAAAGTCCATGATCATTGCTGAACACCTGGAAACCCTCTGAGGGTGCTTGTTGGGTAAGGAACAGGTTAGGGCAGCCACAAGGCTGTGGACCAAGAAAGCGACAGTGTTTTCTAATAGACATGCTGCTACGCTTGATCCAGGATGCCTGTAGCCTTGTTTGCAACTGATCCCTTAAGAGGCAGGGCCAAGCCCTTGGTGCCTGGGAAAGCCCTATGCAAGAACCAGACCAAGAATACCACCAAGATTGTGCAGCAGCTTTCTGCAAGAGGATGCAAAAAACGGGTCTTCAGATTAATTTGTTCCATCATAAACAGTCTCAGGTATGCTGGTGGCAGGCTGCAGAGTAATTGGAGCAGCTGCCCTTGTCAGAGCAGATACTTTGATGAAAATGGAGTTTTCCATGGTAGATGTAGCACTTCAGGTCCCAAGCTCAGTGCTCATTCTTGATGCCAGGAGACAAGGCCTTTTTTCCTGTAGGTCTGTGGTCTTGGAGGAGCTGCACCATCAAGCACAGGATTATGTACTTAGTGAAAACAACAGTGTTGTTGGAAATAACCCAACAAGATGAGTACTATCTTTAGTCTTTCTGAGATTAGGGCAATTTTGTGGAAAATTCCACAAAAATATGAGTGGATGAATCAGACATGTGCACAGGCCCTTATCCTTGCAGAGGATTTTAACCACTGTGGTACCTACTGGAGGGAAAACACAGTAGGGCATAAGTAATCCTGGAAGTTCCTGAGGTGCATTGACAAGAACTTCCAGACTCAAGTAACAGAGCAGATAATAAGGAGAGATGCTGTGCTGGACGTCATAACAAAAAAGAGGGACTCCCTCTATTGGGATGGGAGGGTCAAAGGCAACCTCGGCTGCAGTGACCATGAGCTGCTGGAGCTCTAGATTCTGTGAGGAGGGAGAGGGTAAAAAACAAGTCCCAAAATTCTGGTCTTGAGATGAGCAGACTTTCTGCTTTGGGAATCTGTTTCAAAGGGTCTCACAGTAAGACTAGAGGGAAGAGCGGCCCAACAAAGATTAATATTCAGGAATTGCCTCTTCCAAGCTCAACGCATAGTGCAGGAGACCTGGTGACATAGGAAATGGAAAAAGCTGAAGTACTGAGTGTCTTCTTCAGTCTCAGACCCCAGACACTGAGGGGATGGTCTGGGGGAAGGAAGTGGAAGATGATAACATCATCAGTTCATGGATCCTTACAGTGTGTAAACACAAATGCTGGGGGAGCTGAGTGATGTCATGGCAAAATAATAATCTTTGAACAATCAGGACAACTGGAAAAATTGTCTGTGGACTGGAGAAAAGCAATGGTCACTCCTGTCTCACAGCTGAGCAAGAAGGAGGTTCCAGGGAACTACAGAGTGGTCAGCTTCCCTTTGATGTGGGGCTGTGATGGGCCATTTATTACAGTCACATGAAGGAGATGATGATTATCAGGGGTAGCCACACTTGAAAACCTGATCACCTTCTTTGACATGATTGGTAGATGAAGGGCAAGGAGTGAATATTCCCCATGTAGACCTCTCTAAGGCCTTTGACACTGTCTTCCACAAGATCCTCATAGATGAGCTGATGAAGTACGGGATGGAGGAGGAGACAGTGAGGTGAATTGAAACTGGGAGAAAGGCTGGGATCAGAGGTTTGTGATCAGCTGAAGGTCAGCAATTTGTAGCACATTTCAGAGTCCATTCCTGGGTTCAGTCTTGCTCAACAGCCTCATTTATGATCTGGAAGATGGGACTGTGTGTAGGCTCAGCAGGTGATCCTTCCTCTCTCCTTACCACTTTTGAGGACATATCTGGAGTCATGTGCCAGAATCTGCCTTCCCCAGTACAAGAGAGGGACGCACATGCTGGAGAGTGTCCAGCAAAGGGCCACTAAGACGATGAAGGGACCAGATCACCTCATATATGAGGAAAGGGTGAGGGAGCTGGGATTCTCCAGCCTGAAGACTCAGAGATGAGGCTTGTTTTAAGGCTTATTTTGTTTTGTTCTGAATACCTTCAGTACTTCACCCATATCAATGATGGAAGCAGCCATGTGAGGCAGGTGTTGCTTGTGTACAATATTATTAATAATTTCCTGTGCTCTACTTTACCACTGAATTTAACCTGTGGACAGAGAAAGAACATGGGCTATGAACTGACTTACCCTCCTTCTTCAGAATATTTGTGACCAAAGGCAAGGATGTCAGACGCTCGGCCACTGCCATCACATATCACAACGGGAACAGGAGGAGTGTCTCGCAGGTACTCCAGAACAATGGAGATGACATTGGGACCTCCTTCCACAATAAGGGCCACCACTGGAACCCCTTGGCCGATTCCTGGAGCAAAAGAAAGAAAGAAACAAACCAAACCAAACAACACAAAACAAAACAGCCAACCAACCAAATAAAAAACCCACAAACACACACAAAACAAATAAATAAATAAATGCAACGAAAAAGAAACAAAAAACCGCAAAACCAGCAAGGCAAACAAAACACAACAGAAGACAGAAGAAAAAATAATCAGACTGAAATAACTGCATTATGACTGTACAGTGCTATGTAAGAGAAAATGCATCCAATAAATCAGGTATTTTAAGGACAGATGGACCAGTGTAGACATCTCATCAGTTCCACTGCATGAACTAGTATTTTCTAGAATTATCTTCTGTTTCAAATACAATAGTTTTATTTAAATAGACTATGATTTTTTTTGTTTGTTTTTTTATTGATCAAATCTTGTTTTAAAATCATAAAGAAGCTACTGCATTTCTTCCTCACGTGCTCATAATCAAGACTGGAAACTTGCTTGTAGTCTAGCTTTTGCATGATGTCAGCTTCCCATCATTGGGTCTTCCAATAGTTTTGCTTGCTGTTTCAAAATTACCTCTATGATAATTTTCCTGCTGTATGGGATCCATTTTGAGGTTGCAGCTGGGCAGCCCTTTAACCTTCTCTTCAATAAGCTAAGCATATTGTCTTGCCATTGCTTTTCAATTCTAGTCAGTCTCATAGTTTTTCTCTGAATTCTTTCCAATTCTGCAGCATATTCCTTGATTTACAGACTGCCACACCAAGGACATTGCTCCAAAGACATCTGAACTAGTGCTTAACCAATGAGAGGCATCTTCATTTTATGCACCTTTAGTGTAATTACATGGGACCCCTCCACAACAGCTGTAACACAGACTGCCAGGAAAGTTGTGTAGATTTAGAGAAAGGCAATCTGATGCCAGGCTGGTGTTAATATAGCTGAAAAAGCTTTAATGGTAGTCACTTCTGGACCAGTTGAGACTGAGGACATTCAAAAGGACTCAGACAACAGAGGTTGAACATTTTCTATTGGAAATTTTTTCCTTTTCAAGTAGCTTTTTCTAAGAAAACCTATATGCATTCTGCACAAAATTCTGACATTTTACTGGAAAACAAAAATAAAAAGAGTGTCCTTCTATTAATAGCTGTTAACAACTGTTAATATGACTGATGAAGTTTTCATTTAGAGACTCAGTTCAATTCTTGGAAGTGAAGGTAAGCCTGTGAGGCTGGCATATTAAATCTGGTTAGACCCTCTAGAAATATTCACCGATCAAATGATTTTCAATAATTTTAAGGACATGAATTACCGTAAAAAATAAAATAAAATGTTCTTTAAGAAAGAAAGAAAAAACCCTAGTTCATATATATAACAGGAAAATATTCTAGGCATTTCCTGAACCATTTTGAAGGAAACATTATGTCTCCTGAAGTGATTCTCAGCATGCTTTGTTTTGCCTCTATCTACTGTTAGTGGCTTTTTTGTCATGTAACTTAAGTAAAATGTGTTTATTTATGCTAAGAAAACTACAGGTGGAATTATAAAATGTAGGCTACTGAAAAAGCATAAGAGGGATGGAGTATAACAAGGTGATTACAGAATGATTTGCAGAGATCAAGGGCTAATTTTTTCTAATAATTAAGGACTTTCCCTGAATTGCTGTTCTACCAAATCTAGACACCTGCTAATAAGATAATATTGAGAAGTATTCTTAGTAATGGGTCAAATTTGGTCTGGATGACACTGAAGATTTATAGAAATCGAGAAACTTCACAATTTGAGATACAAAGCCATTTCTGTGGTGTTTAATAAATCCCTCTGTAAACTGGGGAACTCATTAGGAGGAAATACCAGAAAAGCTGATGACAAGAGAACTGTCTTTGGTATAGCAAGACTACTAGGAAAAATTATGATCCTGGAATACATACAGCAAAACATTTTCAGGAGGAAACAGGGGCAATTCAGTGCCATTGTGCATGCCACTCAGGAAATTCCATCTAAAATATTATCTGTACCTGTGCTCAGGCTTGTTCAGAAAGAGCAAATCGGAATGAATGGAGGAAAAAGCCAAAAGGAGTATATGGGGAATAAAGATGTCATCTTATGAGACAAGATTCAATGAGTTTGGCTCGTCTTCCCTAGAAATTAGGGTGGCAAAGACACCATGACTGAATACCCCCATGACATACAGCACATTAGAAATTAAAAGGTTTAGAAGGAGTTCAGAAGATTCCTGGTTATCAGATAAGTGAAGTCTTTACAGCCTTCTTTTAAGACTAAAAGGGAGAACTTTTTGTACTAAAATGATGCACTGCTGCTCTCTAATCATAATAATTGCAGTTGCCTTATGTATCTCAAACTGTTCCTGAAACAGATTCTGTCCTTCTGCTGGAAGTCTTTTCATTCCCAGTGTTTTCTACTGGAAAAATAATTCTCAAAATATAAATAATCATGCTTAGTCTAAACAGCTGAACAATTTTTGCCTTTTTGGGCTGTTAGAAAACATGTCTAAAATTACTGTTGTAACCTTAGATTTTATTTTAATTTTTTTTTAACACGTGTTTTTTTTTAAATTTGAGCCTTTATAGTCACAAGAGTTGCCTGGCATACAGGAGTTCTTTGCAAGTGTTCCAACTGTGTTTCACTGTAGTTAATCAGATGGCAGATTTTCTGTTCTCTGATTGTTTAGAAATACATTCAGTATGAAAACAATCCTCTAATTTGAGGCTAGTAAAATAAAAGAATTTTTTTCCAATTCATACTTCAATGAAACTTTTGAGTTTAAAACTTTAACTTAACCCACCAAATTCACGTGAACCTTGGTTTATCATATACAATGGATTTCCATATTGAACTGCAACTCTTTTATCATTCTGGCACATTTCTTTGTGAGACAAAAAAAACCCAAACAAATCACAAACTTGATTTCTATATCCTGTTTTCCTTTGGGAAATTCTGCCTGAGTTTCAGCAATTAGATGATTTTTTAATTTAAATTTTACTGTTCTCCATAAATAATTTTGGTTTGGAAAAAGCTACTCTTTCTTTTGTTTGGTGGGCAAATCATTACAGTTAATTTCTGGAACTAGAAATAATATTTAAAACCAGTTAATAATACTTTGCTGATATTTCTTCAAAGTATAACCATTTCTGGCTTTCAGGAAAGTTCTCCAGACTACAGCTGTCTGAACCCTAATGTTATGAACTTTCACGGATCTATGATAACCAATTTCTGAGCAGTAATGGTATCCTCAGAATTTCAAGAAATGGGTAAATGGGAATTACCATATCCTCAGCTTTCTATGATGTTCCCAATCATATTTAAATTAGTTACGACATTATATTAATTTCAGGATAAAAACGTAGCTGCTTATACCAAGATTTCTGCAGGTCAATAAATCTGAGCCGAAATGCAGAGTAGATTTGAATTAAACTTTCAGATATCTTGATATTAAAAATTCCTGGATGGTTCCCTGCTGCTAAATATTAGGAATTTGGAAATGAATGCAGGGGGTCTGCAGAAAAATTTCAGTGTGTCTCAAGACATTAACTGACTATACTAACACTGCATTTATAACTATGTTGATATGAAATTGAGAACTGACTGTGCTTTGCCTTAATGTAACACTGGGACAATTTGGAGAACGTTGGCATGTGAGGCCAGCAAGAATCTCTGACTTTGAGAAAAAGGCAGCTGATAAACCTCTCTTTAACTGCTAATCAAAATCTGTTTCCTTCTAAATCTCCTCAGAAATGAAAGAATGAGAAGTTCTCTGTAAGAGCTCTATTGCAGCCTGTGCAAGCACAGTATACGATAGTCTGCAAAGAAGGGGCCGGCACTGCCTGATAGATCCACAGGGAGCCTTGGGTTTCAGACACTTCATCTGCAAAGATAATGGCAGGCTCTGAGGTGAGATGCTAAATGTGGAGAAAATACATTCCTTACAACATCAAGGACATCATTACAAAAAGAGCTTTTTGCTCAAGTCGAGATTGTCAGAAAGGAGGCAAGGCAAAATGAAACCTTGTTGACATAAAACTGGACTACAGTGCTGGAACTGCAGTCTCCAGCACACATCCAGAAGGTGAGAGCTTCATGCCAAGCACTATAATGGACAGTCCAATAAATCAACAAGGAAAAAGATTTCCCTTCATGTGTTTCTGTAGAATTTACCAAAAAATTTCCCTAGTCTTGGAAAAAAATAAGGATAGCACTCATCTTGCTGGGCTGTCTTCAACAGTATTGTTGTTTTCACTAAGCAAGTACTCTAAAAGTACACAACGTTAAAGATTGTGTGTTTTGCATTTTATTAACTGGAAAGAGAGTAGCATTAATGTATTACACTGAAATATAGCACAACCTGAAACTGCAGAGGACCTTCTTTGGTAGAGGGCAATGCATTATTATCAGGAAACACTATCACTTGGTGTTGTCTTCCAAACACAGAAGAAAGTACAAATAATTTTTACATATCTGAGTACTTTTTTCAGTTTCCTAGAAGGCACTAAATGACACGTCAATCACCTTTTTATTTAATATCCTTTGTAGAGAAATCTTTTAAGTTCAGGAGAATTATTTTTAAGTATCTGAAAAATTGGATCTCTGATAATTTCATGGAGGATTTATTTTTAAATTTACTTAGTTCACTTTTCAAAGCATTTCTAGGATAAGCTTTGATTTCAACAAATGTTTTTTCCTTCTCCTTTTGGAAGATGGAGGAAACTCTTGTCTAGCAGTATATCTGTGGACTAAAATGGCTGTGAATGCTGACTAATGTGTTATCACTGTGATGTTTACGACTTAGCTAACTAATAGCTCAAGATCATAAATATTTGACTACAAAATCAAAGGTCTTCCAACTTAAGAGTGGTCTCTGCAATTTATTCAGTGTTATTAAAATTTTTTGCTAGAAAGACAGAAGTTTTTTTCTCTCAGATTTTCAAAAGAAATATTAAGTTTGTATCCAATAACAGGTATGTGTGAAACATCTCGTACTAGCTGGCATATTACTATTTAATAAGCT